CTCCAGGGCTGTGCAATGCAAAAGAGGGTTCTCCGGGGCCGTGCTGTGCAAAGGAGGGTGCACCAGGGCAGTGTAGTGCAAAGGGGGGGTGCTCTGGGCCATGCAGTGCAAAGGGGGCATGTACTGGGGCTGTGCAGTGCAAAAGAGGAGTACACTGGGGCCGTGCAGCGTAAAAGGAGGGCACACCGGGGTATTACAGCGCATGGCGGGGGGCAGGTGCCCCAGGGAGGCGGTGCAGTTTTGATCAGTGCACTAAGGAGGGGGGGTGTTGGTGCCCTGGAGAGGGGGGTGCAGTGTAAGGGAGTGGGAAGCTGTGCCGTGGTGGTGCATTGTAGGGGGTGCACTGGGAGCCTGTTCAGTTGGGGGGGGGTGTCAATGCACTGGCAGGGGGGCCATGCAGTGCTAAGGGCTGGGACCGGGGCACTGGGTTTTTTAATTAAGCCGGCTGGTGGGTGGGCTCACTTGGAGCTCCTTTCCCGAGGGGACCCTGCCAGCACCCCACGCCTGCCGGGCCTCGGCCGAGGACCCTCTTGCCTGGTTCAGGGAACCTGCGGCACAAATAGAAACGAAGAAGATGCCTCTGCTGCAGGGACAGGAGCAATTCCACCTCCTGCCTCCCTGCCCAAAGGAAATCGTCTCTTATTAAGGAGCCTTATTACGAACTACCCTTACCTCTGTGCCCGTGGGGTTTTGCTTGGTCTCCCGAAGTGCATTTCCCCCCGGTGCAATTACCCCGCTGCGGGCGCTCTGCAGCGGGCACAGCCGGCCCCGCCGTGACAGGCGCTGCGTGACGGTGTCTGCCATTAACTCCCACCTGCTTTTGCGCCCGCCTGGTACTTGCGCTAGTCCCCCTCCTCTCCTCATCAGCTTTTCACTGATGTAGTTAAGAAAACTTAACTTTTCTATTACTGCACATTTCTCTCTCACCCAGGTGCTTAATTACCATTGTCCCAGGGAAATGTCAGCGTGACTCAGAGACAGTTTCCCATTAGGAAGCGGCAGATGAATATTAATTAAACCGGCTGGTGGGTGGGCTCACTTGGAGCTCCTTTCCCGAGGGGACCCTGCCAGCACCCCACGCCTGCCGGGCCTCGGCCGAGGACCCTCTTGCCTGGTTCAGGGAACCTGCGGCACAAATAGAAACGAAGAAGATGCCTCTGCTGCAGGGACAGGAGCAATTCCACCTCCTGCCTCCCTGCCCAAAGGAAATCGTCTCTTATTAAGGAGCCTTATTACGAACTACCCTTACCTCTGTGCCCGTGGGGTTTTGCTTGGTCTCCCGAAGTGCATTTCCCCCCGGTGCAATTACCCCGCTGCGGGCGCTCTGCAGGACAGGCGCCGACGGGGAGAACCGGGGAGGCTGCGTTTCG